AAGTGTAGTGTGTGTGTGTGTGTGTGTGTGTGTGTGTGTGTTAATGTGCACCCAATCAGATCATGATGGCATAAAGCAAAATTTGACGAACTATGGCCCTTTTGCCAAATCTGGCTCACCATTTGCTTTTGTAAATAAAGTTTTATTGGAATACATACATACACAAATGGCAATAGAAAGGACTACATTGAGAGTATTTAGATAAAGAAAGAAGAGATCATTTATAGGGTGAGGTTCTTGAGAAGGTGCACTGGAATGAAATCCAAAGCATAAGTGGATGGATTGGCCTCTTGTAGGAAGAAAGTGATGTTTTCTATTTGCCATAGGAAGAAGGGAGAGTAGGAGGAATGAAGACAGTATGTAGGTTTGCATATCTGATGGCTATAGGTTAAAGGAGTTTACATCTGAGCACTTTGGCATTCTGGTGATGCTGTAAAAAAGATCTTCAGTTGACGGGGATGGTGGGGAGTTGGAAATCTGAGAAGTCTGAGAAGGTTTAAGAGTTATTGCAAGCATTATTTATAATAGCCAAAGAGTAGAAACAATCCAAATGCCCATCAATTGATAAATGGATAAGAAAAATGTGGCATATCTATACAATGGAATATTATTTAACAATAGGAATGAAGTACTGATATACGCTACAACATGGATAAACCTGGAAAACATTATGCTAATTGAAAGAAACCAGTCACAAAAGGCCACTTAATGTATAATTCCATTTATACAAATGTCCAAAAGAGGCAAAAAAAAAGATTAAGTGGTTGTTAGGGGTAGGGGGAAGGGGAGAATGGGGAGTGACTGCTAATGGGAATTTCTTTGCTAATGGGGCTTCTTTGGGGGGCAATGAAATATTCTGAAATTAAATAGTAGTGAGGTTGAAGAGTTTTGTAAGTATACTAAAAATCACTGAATTGTGCACTTGAAAGATGTGAATTTTATGGTATGTGAATTATAGCTCAATAAAGTTATTTTTTTTAAAGACAAGTTATTGCAGAGGGTAGGCTAGTGCACTGTCCAGATAAAGGAATTGGGACCACCAGGTAGCAGGGACATCCATAAAGCTAATGAGACTTCAGCGCAGGTCTCCCCTGAGGGTAGGGAGCTGCTGGGAGAGATGGAGAGTCCTAGCTGGGAGGGGAAGCCAGGAAACACTCAGGAAGCATATTTGTGTAAGGATTCTGGTAAATCATCGTAGAGACCTCAAAAGAAAGGCGCCTGTATCTCCATGGCTCCAGTAAATATGTTTGTCATTTATGTCTTCATTCTAAACACATATTCATCCTAATTCTATACTTGTAATTGTATATTCTTTTCCTTCAAAAGGACTCTCCAAACTGTATAAGATTTAGGGCCCAGAAAACTAAGACCTATCCTCCTTAGAAAGTTGAGGATCTATTCGAGGTCTTTGAACATGAATTTATGGTGATGCCACTTATCCTGTTGGGTGATTCCCTCCAACAGCACTTGGTTGCTTGGGTGCAGAAGAAAGTAGACTTGGGCTCGTCCAGAATTGGGTTTTGTGAGTTGGGACCATGTCATTAAAAATACAGACCACGGAATTTAAACTGGACAAGGGGGAAGCAGAGAAAGGAGAGGTCTGATGGATCATGAGAAGGCAAAGTGTTAATAGGCTAGAAAAGCTGTTAAGAAGATTACATAGGAAGATATTAAAAGATCAAGTTAGAGGACATGTGGTTAAAGGAGGATGCTGGAGGTGAATGATAAAGTCCATAGCGGTGATTGTTCGAGGTGATTTGAACCACAGGAAATGATATGATCATTTGCTCTAAGAAAAAGTTTCAACTGTAATCTGCAAGCATCTGTGCAACCTGTCCCTTGCCTGTAACCTCACCCAGTCCAATGTCCCTCTCACTTGCATCACTGCTGCCTTCATTCAGGTCCTCAGGAGCTCCTTCTACACTGAGGACTTGTACACCTAGTAGTTCCTCTGTCTGGAATACTCTCTGCTGCTTTGCCAGGCTAACTCCACTCAACCTGAGGATCTCCGTTTAAAGTCTTTTCCTCAGGGAAGTCTATCCCAACCTATCCATTCTTCTCCCAGGGATATATCTTCCTGTTATATGCCCAGATAAAACTCTCTATTTTTCTTTCACACCATTTCATACCACATATGACTATATTGTAGAAGTTACGGGGCTAATTATCTGTAAAATGTGTTTCTCCAGGATAGAGGAGTGCAAGAATAGGTCTGGCTTTCCTCCCTATCCTATCCCAGGTCCTCAGGGACTTGCACATACTAGGATATTCTATAAGTATTTGTTGTATGAATGAAATTTAAGATTCTTATGTGTGATAGCTTTTTCCAGCATACATTTTAATGTATAAAGATATAAAATGTGATTTAACAGATAATCTAAAAATGGCATATGTTAAAATAATGCAAATATCCTTTCTAAAATACACACATGAAGATGTATCTATCTTCAACCTCTCCTCAACCCTTATTTGATCTCTTGAAATACAAATCTAAAACAACACAGTTGAAGATAGGGAAAATACTTAAAGATTTCTTCAAGTATTCTTCTGTCTCATAGAAATGAGATAACTGAATCCCTTATTTGAAATAAAGAAAGGATTACTGGAACTTCCAAAAGCTAAATAGTACAAGATATATTACAATTTTCCATTAAAAAGACTTTATAACAGGAGCGGAGATAGTGATAAATTTTCTAAAGCCAACAGTGAACTAATCTTATGAATGTTAATTATAAATACTCAATGTATATACACACTTCCTATGGGAGAAGTGGAAAACAAATTCAATGATTTATTTTCCTTTGGACTTGTGACAAAATCTGCATTCACACACTTAAAAAGAATTGCTCTGGTTTATTAGCTGCTGTAAAAATGACAATCACTGCTGTTCTAAAAAGCCTTAAAATTTAAGAAAAACAAGTCCCCTCGCTTGTTCTTTCCCTCTGCCCTGGTCAAGGTTGTCCCTTTTATCTTTTCATAAAACAAGTCTTGGGATTCTCCTCTCTTCACAACATCTTACAAATCTCCATCTAAATGCCTCTTTAAGGAAGACTTACCTCTCACCCCATCTGAGTCCACCCCAGTTATTCTTTCATTTTACTATATTTGTTTCCCTCAGGGCACAACATTTATCACAATCTGTACTTCGGTTGACCCTTTGTTTACGATCCTATGCCACCACAGGAATGTCACCTCCCTGAGTGCAGGGATCTTTGTCACCATCCCAGCACCTAATTCCCTACTGCAATTGTACATTTTCAAACTGAGAGGAATTCCCGAATATGAAAGTCGTGTTAATAAGCAAATGCCCATGTTAACTTATCTCCTAATATTTTTAGCAGTTTTATCTGATTATTTACATTACCTTCTGAAAATTGTTTTGGGGCTTTGTTTTTCATAAATAAATTGGAAAAGATATTTCTATTACAGGACAATGGTAAGCTAGAAACCAGGTGTCATAATTGTAAAACACACACAAGTAGGCAAATAGAACTAGGACATCCAGTGGGTCTCCCTGTTCTAGACCAACATTCCAAGGGTAGATTTTAAACAACGTCAAGTGGAAGAACCTGGCCACAAACGGAGGGAGTGTGAGACTTTAAAATGTCCCACACAAAGACTCAGTCAAATGCTTTGGCCACACTAAGCGCTCCCACCACTTTGGCAGGCCTGCTCCGGGGACCAGCCCAAGCCAGCGCGGGTGGGTCCCCCCCACCGTCCTCCCCACCAGGCCAGTCGTCACGGCGTGCTCCCCTCTCCCCCTCCCGGTCCCGGCCCTTAAGTCTCCCCGGCCTGGATCCGCGGGGTCGCGGTCTCCCTCCGGGCTGTTTTGATTGCAGGCTGTCAAGTACAGAAAACCCCCCAAACTCCTGATCTTGTGTGCACTACAAACAGAGCCAACATGGCAAACCACAAACTGACACTCGAACATTCCTCGCTCCTCCACGGGCCCGAGCCCCGGCGGCCCTAGCCTCGCCCGGCCTTCCCCTGCTAGATGCCGGCTGGGGGCTCCGGCCGCCGCTGCCGCAGGGCGGCTGAGGACCCCGTTCCAGCTTCCGGAACTACAGATCCCAGGGTGCCTCTCGGACTCCCTCTCCCTCCCTCTCTCGCTCCCTCCCTCCGCCCGCTCCCTCCGCCCCCGGCCCTTGTTGTTTTGGCTGGAAGCGCTCCGGCGGAGTTTCAGAGAAAGTCTGGGCAGAAACCGGAGCCGGCCCGAACGTGGGAAGGGGAGGAGGAAAGGAAGAGGGAACCGGGAGGCCGGGCCGCTCTCAACCTGCCGCGCGCCCCGCGGTGGGGGAGGCGGCGCGGGAGGAACGTGAGGGGACGGGACAGTGGGGTCGGTCCCCGGAGCCGAGCAACCGAGTGCCTCGTTCGTCCGCCGCTCCCCGCCCTCTCCGGCGGCTGCGAGAGCGGACCCACCCTCCGGCGGGACTTGCGCCCTGCCCAGCACCCGCCGCCCAGCGACGCTCCGCGTTTCGCCGCCACCCCAGCGGCTCCCTGCGTGGCCCAGGACCTGCCCTGCGCCCGCACGAGACCCTCGCGGTTCCCCTTTTTCCTCTGTCCGCCCCCCGCCGTTTCCCGGGCGCCGCGGGGAAGTGACCCACCCTCTCCCGAGGAAGGGGAAGGAGAGGATCGCGCCCGGCGCCCCGAAACCGACGGGCGAGCCGGGGTGGGCGCCGCGCGCGGGGGCATTGTGTGAGTGTGTGTGTGTGTGTGTGAGAGAGAGAGAGACAGAGGGAGAGTGTGTGCGCGCGCGTGCAACGTAGTGTCTGTTTCGGAAAGCGCCTGGGGAGGTCCTGTTCCTAGGGGGCGGAGCGCAGGGGACGGAGGCTCGGCTCCGGGCAGGGGCAGAGTTTTCGCTGAGCCCGAGCGCTGCTGAGGCGGCCGGCGGGACGGCGCGCCTGGCGGCTAGGCGGGCGCACTGAAAGGCCCGGGCGCCCTCGGCCCGGCAGCTGCCCCTGCCCCGAGGTGTCGGCCTTGGCGACGCTGCCCGCTTCTGTTCACGTCCGCGGACCCGTGCGGGAGACGGCCGGACGCGCACACCCAGTGCGCAGCGGAGCCCGCGCGTCCCGTCTGTCCCGGCTGCGCCTCGGGAGAGCCAGGCTCTGGCTGCTGCGCCGCCGGCAGGCGTCGGCTGTGTCGGGAGCGCGCCCGCCCGCCCCTCCGCTGTCCGGCCGGGAGCCGGAGAGGCGCGCACCATGAGCGGCGGCGAAGTGGTCTGCTCGGGATGGCTCCGCAAGTCCCCCCCGGAGAAGAAGTTGAAGCGTTATGTAAGTAGAGCCTCGGTCGCCTCTCCTTGGGCCTCCCCGCCCGCACCGCTGTCCTGACCGCGCGCGGGGCTGGTTCTTCAACTTAGTCCTCCATCTCTTTCTCCTCGGCCCCTTCCGCGGCAGGCTCGGGACCGAGGCTGTAAGCTCACGCCCTGGCCTCCCTCCACTTTGCCGGCTAACTTTCTTCCTCCAGTTTCCAGACGGCCTGCTTTGCGGGCCTCATCGGCCCGTGGGAGGGCCTGGGATTTCCACCTAATGCCTGCTGCATGTTTTTATTACTCCTTGTAGCAGAGGTGGGGGGGGGAGCATTTTTCTTTCTTTATGTTTGCATTTAATCATCATGGGGGTGCTGTATACTGAATTTCTCGCAACCGAAAAACCGCTGAGGTTTTAGAACTCAGCAGCCCTCTCTGTGGTCCGTGCTGTCTCGTCTTTCCCCGCCCTCCCCCCTTCCCCGAGGTGCGGGGAAACTGTGGACTGTGGACCTGAGAAGTTGGTATTAGAAACCAGCATCTCAAATCCGTGCAAAAGAGAAAGAAAAGTTGCTACGCGCCCTGCCGTTTGCTTAGCAGGGTTCGCATTTTCGCGGTTTTGAATCAAGGGACGGTGGAGTTTGGCCCGAGAGCCTTGGCAGTTCGCTGCGAGAGGAGGGCGCTGGGGGGAGCCTGGCGGCTGGTGTCTGGGCGCCTTGGACGCGCTGTCAAGCCTCGCAGGAGGGGGGACAGCTGAGGCCAGTAGGATTTCTGTGTGTTGCGGTCCTTTCCCAGGCCACCAGGGTTACTTAAATGGCATTGGTGTAATTGATACAAGATGCTGATTATGTGTTAAACCATTTTAGCTGTTAAGAAAAATATTCCTTGAAAGAACCAATCTCACTTTGGTGGACATCTATGTCCTCTTCAGGGATCTAGAATCTTATCCCTTCTCACCCATTGGTTCTTTTGTCGCTGCCCTCTGCAAAGGAAAGAAATGACACGTTTGTCCCGGCGTATGGAGCCAATGTTTTTCTACTAAAATGTGTTTTCAGAAGCAAAATGTATGCCTCCTTAAATATAAATTTACTGTAAGAGGCCGGCACTTCCAATGGAACATGCTTCTTGTTGAAGGATATCTACACCCAGTATTAGAACCCAAATTAATCTTATTAGTCACTGCTTGGATAGTGAAGTGCAGTATTTAACTTCACCGACTCACCAGTGAGTTTCTGGTTCACTTTCTGCCGAGCATTTGTTATAGACAAGTAATTATCGTTTAAAAACTTGATGCCACGCATCCTAAGAAACTTCTCCAGAAATGTGAACCCTTCCAGATCCCGTCTCTTGACTTAATCAGAGTTTCCTGAATGTTCTGGTGAAGATGCTAACTTTATTCCAACATTTGTGGGACGCCGTGTTCATTTAGTTCTTTAGTTTTAAAAAGAAGGTTGTATGTGTGTGAGAAGAGGGAGTAGAGAGATAGGTGTGTTTGTTTTGAGAGGCACAGTTTAGGAAACACAGAGACCTAAGGAGGAGACTAAAGGACAGTACATTTGCCTAAATAGGTAGTGATTATAGAGACTTAATGCATTCTTTCACATCGTTGGTTTATGGCTCTCTCAAAAGATGCCTACCACTGGACTAGGCACCATAAGATTAGAAAATACAGTAGGAAATAAGCCCTGCCTAGTGAGCTTGCAATTTAATGTAATATAATTTAGGAAGAACATCAGCCAAAAAGATTGTCTTAGCAAGGACAAAGAAAATGAAAAGTCCAAATAAAAATATCTGTATTATTTCATTCGATCATTACAACAGTTTTATGAGGTACATATTATTTCTGTTTTATAGATGAGAAAAAGAGTTTCTGTAACCGGAATGTGCCACAGACAGGATTTGAACCTAGAGCTGCCTAACTGGGCTATCAAAGGTTAATGACTCATCTAGTTCATTTCAAGTGGAGCTCAGACTAAGTCATCTTTAAAGCTCCTTTCAGTTTATAACTTTCTAGGAGTCTATGAATATTAGTTGAGAATGCAAGGAAGAAGCGAGTTGGGGATAAGCTGTGTAGTGCTAAAGAAACATAAGACCCTTCAAGCAGCTTTCTGAGTCTTTCGAGAAATGACACAAGAATATGTGAAAAAGTCAGCCAACAACATACAGTGGTTTCAGATTGTGTGCCCAAGCTGACTGTTATTTATTTTTTTTAATAGATGTTTTGAGGAACAAGCTCAATGTCGTCTGAAACCATGGGGATACTTTAGAGAGGGAGCGGTCTCCCTAAATTGTTTTCAACAGGGGAAGAATATGCCTAACAGCTTGGGGGAGGTGGGGTTTTCTTGCCTGGCTGAGCACTCGTGTTTTCTTTATACACGGATATGGCCCAGGAAGACAGTGTGCAGGTGGCTACCAGAATTTAAGGGGTCCCAGAGGATGACTAGAGTGTTGTAAGTTAAAATGAGGCCTGTCTTTTAGTTTAGCTGTCAAGTTGGTTGCCCAGAAGTTTTTGACATTTCCAGATTATTGATCTTTAGGCTTTGGTATCCAGTTCAGATTGTTTTTGCTAAAGCAGCTTTGACCCTCAAAGACATACATATATTCATGCATTTCCGATTTTTGTTTTCTTTTCATGTAAAATCTTTATGAAAATAAAGGGTAAAAGGAAACATTGTTGGCCATCCAGTAGACAAAATGTTGCTTGATAATAGTTTTTAATGAATGGATTTGCTGTAAAAATTTATCTTGGATGAGTGGTACTGTAATTGTTAAACGAGACATCAGGAGTTTGAACACTGATTCTTTCGGGGGCATTTGGCCCATGGGATTTTAACAGTTGTCTCGCTGTTTACAGTATTTATAGGGTAGTCCAAATGTCGATTAAGATGATACTTAAGGGCTTTTACATGACAAAAAATTTGTTTTAGTTTTTATCTTTAAAGTCATCTTTTGTTATGGCTCCTGTGCATTCCATTTACAACTCCATTTTATGTTTACTGTTTCATAGTCAACTCACACAGCATTGTTTTCTTTGCACACTAGTGTGTTCCTCTGGTCTGAAAGCTTTTCTTAAATTTCCTAGAGAGACTGAAAGGAACATCAAAAAAAGAAAGCCTGGAGAAGTGTGTAGATTTCCTAGCCTTTTCATCTCTTTTTGCTTTTTTCTATATCTCTTTGCAAAAGGGTAAGAACCTCTTCTAATATATTTCATCCTCTGAATTTTTTGAAGTCTACTTCAAGTGGAGGTGACAATGTCCATGCTTTCTTTCAATTTTGCTAGTGCTGTGTTTTGTTTTTTGTCCTGTGTTGTATATTAAACAGCTGCTTTTTTACTTTAAGGACCTGAGTGGAAACATACAGATCACCGTCACTAGGGTTACAGAAAACAAGTAAACTCTTGGTAGTATGCACTTAACAGTGGTGTTCAGATTTTTAAAGAGTTATTTAAAGACAAGTCAGCCTTTTGGAATAATGGTAGGATTTTCATCAGGACTTGAAATTTCAGCCAAGATAAAATGTAAGTCTGAAAACAAAGGATTGATTCAAGCCAGCTGGCTATCGCCGTATCTCTGCAGGAGGAGCTTCCCTATGGCCTGCCTCAAGTCTGGACACCAAGTTTGGGCTCCTCCATGGCCCAGCTGTCAGCATTGGGCAGGTGTGCAGTCTCAGCAGGAGAACCTGCTTCTGAGGCCAGACCAAGGTGGCCTGTGAGCTGCCAGCCAGCCTGGGAGTAAGACCTCGGCCAGTTCGCGGGTGTGTAATCTGCACCCAGCTTGGGCTCCACTCTTCAGCTGTCAGTTAATAGGATCGTTCTTGTCCGGACTTCCAGAACATGCCCCTGGTTTTGGAAATGGGCCTAGAAACAGAAGTAGCCTCTTCCTCTGGGTGGGCACCTGACCTCTTCCATGGAGGAGAGGGGCACAGGCAGCCAGAATTAGCATGCCCTTGTTCGAGGACAGCCCAGGATCTGTGCTAAGCATTAGGTCGCTGCTCAGTAGGGTCACTACAGCAAATGGGACTGTGATGTCTGTAAGCTCTTCCTGTACTTTTTTTTTTTTGCAATTACCAGTAGCAGTCAAGGGACTCTGAAGCTTTTGCTTACAGTGACTGAAGGAGCATAATTATTGTATCGAAGGAGTTTTTTTCTTGAAAACTTCAGGATAGTAAACGTCCGTTCAAATTCTTAATGTTTTCTTTTTACCTTTTCTCATGTGGTAGGAACACTGTTTCTGTTACCAAAGATCATCAACTACCAGTTCCATTAAGCCTTCGTGATAGGTAATGATAGTTAATTCTTTCATTGTGCCTGGACTTAATGATGAGTACAAAACTCTCCATGTAAAACTTGCTGAATTCCTAAATCTGATTGTTGTCTTTCGGGATTTAAAATTATCATTGGGAAGTTGTATCAGTTTGGAAGGTAGTTTTAGAATTCTGATGTTTTGAAAAATTGGTTTTGAATTTTCTAAAAAGACCATCTTTGAACAAAATACAATAATATGACAAGAGTTATACCTGGATAATCTGGTTGACAGCTGAATTGGTTATTTCAGTGTGTTGTGCGATTATTAAGTCTTTAAAAATTAGGAAAATAAAATGACAAAGCACTTTTTATGACTAAATTTCATATATATATATATTTTTTTTTTTTTTTCTTAAGTTTATTTTCAGTAATCTCTGCACCCACCTTAGGGCTCCAGCTCATGACCCTGAGATCAGGAGTCGCATGCTCTTCCAACTGAGCCAGCATGTGCCCCAATAGAATTCCATATTTTGTAGTCAACATAAAAAATATGTAGATAAGGTCTTGATAATTTGCAGATTGAGGAATTTTAAGAGGTGGTAGATTCAAAACATTGAGTGCCATCACTCCTAATTTTCTCACAGAAACTAACACAGGAGAAGGGACATCACAGCAGGTAGACTACTTTATTTTTGAAGGATTTGGAGTAAATTGTACTACTGTGGAAGGGACCCTGGACTGAGTGTCAGGACCCAGGATTGGACTTGACTTTACCATGGTCCAGG